GTATATCGTATATCTATTTACAGCCCCATTAATATCCACTATTCTTTTATAATTATTTTATAAAAACGTTACCCCCACACTTGGATTTTCTCCTGTATCGCGGAGGCAGCTTACAAGCATAAATTGCACAAGGACACACATCCAGACCCGAAACAATTATTTGTAGGATATACAAATACTTGTTCCGTGCGGGATTCAAACAGCGACTCATTGCTAAGCCACTGCGCCACGGAGCCGTCGTCTAAAATAAAATAAATTCGTCCGCACATTGGCCCGAACCGAAGTAAACTGCACGACGTACCAACGTGTGGACTAGACATGGGTAGTTCGCGAACGATTGAAGGAAATGAACTACTTCATTTCGCAAAATAAACTTATCATTCATTCAGTATCATTAAAAATTAGTCTCTACTTCATTTAGTTCAGCCTTTCTTTTCGCTCCACCACTCACTCGCACATGCTCGTGATTCGTTCGTGTCACTTCGGCGCCGGCCGGTCGGCTTCGGCTGGAGTTGGCCGGCCGGCGTGTATCGTGTAGGCGCGGCGCAGCGCAGGGCGTTTTGCCTAGGCCTACACGACACACGTGCACGAAAAGTCAAATAATATTATGCAACAGTGTAGTTAGTCTAAACATACTAATATGAGCTTTCTGTTTTATACTAATAAAGTTTAATTTAGCGTACAAAAATGTACGTAAACTAAACAAATGCTTTAGGTAATGAATTATTATTTTCGTATTTTTTTAAGATCGTCGAAGGATCGGCAATATCGACATCTCTCTTTATGTAGCATTGCTATTGCAATCAAATGAGATAAAGCGCAATAATTTAGAATTTGAATTTCTTACACGCGTAGTTCACAAGTTGAGTTCGACTTGAGGTCGAGGACAAACGGATACGGAATGCACTAATAATCTAATGCTGCACTTGTTGACTTGTGCGGTGCGTTACGTTTATTGTAAGTAGCTATAGCTAGAATTGTGTTATCGTATTTATCCTCTATCAGTTTTATAAATATAATGATTAATTGAACTAAAAGTTATATTCTCACTTTTATATATTTAGATAGAAAGGAAAGTGCTGTGTGGTGGAACTATTTTACGGAAAAAGGACCAAAAAGACGAATTCGTACTCTCACTGTTCTAGTACCTATATTTTTGTGTTAACGTATAAATTACATATCTACTTAAGTGAATTGCATCATTCGTCGTAACTCACTCATCAATCACACTTGCGAGCTCGATATCCAAGGGTTACGGACGCGTTTTGGTTTGCTGAACTAAATGAAGTACTGAACTAAATGAGTGGACTACTTCATAGATCGAAAAGATATACTTCATTCATTTCTTTTCACTGACACATTTTGCGCATGTCTAGTGTGGACGCCGTCACCAACTCTCGGCCAATATATTCGCCACTACATTCGCCACTGTGTTGGCCAACGTGTAGAGGCGACATTAAATATAATATTCTGATCCTGATTTCGGTTGTCACGCGCTATGATTTGCGCGCGGAATTTCTTGTGTATTATACATATTTTGTATGTATGTTTTCATTGATTCGAATTGTAATATTTCTCTAGTATATATTTGAGACTATATTGTAATTTATCGTAGGTATAGTAATTAATTATTTTAAAAACGCAATTATGTTTTCGATAGTATTGTTAACACCAGGCTGGCCCGTGATTTTTCTGAAATATCGTCACAATACTGATTACCTACGTCATACGTGTCAGTGTTTCATATATGAATGTGTTTGAATATGTTTTTGGTCAACAATAAATACAATTATTATAAATCGGTAAGCTACCAAAGTAGTCACAAAATTAAACTTGCAAACATTTGCTAAATATGGTTTTGCCGGGTTACATTAAACACCCTTTAGGCCTCTGCAGCGGAGCGACGGCGACGGCGGCGCGGGATCGGGGCGGGTTAACGCAGACCCGTTCACGAAACTAGCGGGCAGATCGCGCGACACTATAGCGGCGTAGTGATGTGTTCATGGTTGTGTTGTCGAGATGTTTTCTTTTATTTGCGAATGAAATGTCTGAACAACGGCGACAACATCTTTTTGATTCAAATTTATTTCTAACGCTCGATTTACTGTGGGCAAAAGAAGAAGTGAATCCCTACTACTTATAGGGCAAGGAAAAGAAAAGGCGAGTTTTATCGAAATTACGAAGAACAGAGAGAATGTCCCGACAAATTCTACGACTACACCAGAATGAGCGTAGAAACTTTTGACTATATTCTTGAAGCTATCAAGGGCGATTTAGAGTCTGTATCCAGTTCGTTTTTAATTTCTTCCCATAACTGGTTAATTACTCTTCTATTTTTATGGTTCACATCTTTGCTGTTCCATATCGGTGTTCTCTCAAACATTGCTGAAATAATTTTCTCTTGCACGTCCGAGGACATTTCGAAACGTCACAAAAATTAATTGCGCAGCACTGCAATGCAGACGCGCACCGCTTGACTGGAGTACACCGCTCGTTGCCCGCCCCCGCGCCGCAGCAAAGCCGCTGTTTTCGAGAGTCGGTCCATTTGATTTTACGCATAAGTTCCTGCCGCTCCCGCGCCGCCGCAGCTGCCGTCCCGCTGGCCGCAAGATTCGAGGCAGAGGCCTTACGCATTTTGCAAACAGTTTCAGACATACACACATTATTAGTTTGTTATATTTTGTAGAGCTCAAGTTCACTCGTCACTACGTCATACCTTACGGTGCGTTCAGAAACAAATATAATTCAATTACATAAAATCCTTTTTTCTGTTCCGTGCTTTATTGTTTATAAATAAATAGCTTATTCTAATCTGAGTTATATTTTTCTTATTCGTCGGCCAATTCCACCAGGAATATAAAGATATCATTGAAATAAAAAGATAAGTAAATTTTTGTACATTTTAGTGTTCTACATAGATCTTGTGTTTCGAAGGCAACCCTATCCATATAGAATTGAAGGAAGATTTGTATATATTATATTGTATAGTACCTGGATGACCGAGCATTTCTCGGTATTTTTTTTTGGAAATCGTGTGTTTTGGAAGTTACATTTAGATTAAAAATACATACTGATAAAATATGAAGAATATTTTTGATCTTACCGACATAATAGAAAAAACTGAACTGGTTATTAAAATGAAAAATCATGAGTGCAATAAAATTTTCGTATTTTTAAAAAAAAATACTACAAAAAGGGCTCGAAATGATAGATTTTCTCACAAAAGAAGGGAACTTGAAAAAAAAGGGAAAAAAGTAAATCCTAAGACCTAAGACGCGAACCATGGAACTATGATTTCGCGGCAGTGCGTTATCCACTTGAGCTATTACGACCATTATTAAAGTGTTAAAATTTACCTTCTTATATTGTAGCAGTTTTTCATTGCCTGAAAACGGGGATAAAACGACATTTTATGAAAATCGTTGGAGATTCCAATTATATAATTCAATAGTGTATGTGTGTCAAAGAAAACTGCGTTATATTGTAATCAATGTTGACATAATTTATTTCCCAAAATTATGAATCAATTAAATAGTTTACGCCAACAAATATAAATTTTATTTTTATAACAATCGTACATAGCGTTTTGTAGTTCTGCCTACCCAATCTACACACACAAAAATTAAAAACTTGTTTTTTTACATACACGCCATCTAGTGTTCTAGCTTCGTAAACGTAGGGATACGTCTGTGTGTGTAAACGACCCTATATTCAATGACAGATGTTATAATCAAAATTAATGTCGAATTGGGTGGACTTTGAGGCAATGATATGACCCATTCCAATAAAATGTAATATCCGATAACCGCTAAGTCTACTCCTACGACTTAATAATTTTCCAATTACACAAAACTCCAAACTCCCTGGTGGCTTCACGTTACCGGTATGTTGGTTATACCGCCATCTATTGGTAGCCAGTAAGTTTAATGTATCACATAGTCGCCTCCTACGACGCTCATGGGACAAAATGGGGAGATGCATTTCCTTACGTCGCTAACATACAGCAAGTAAGCACTTGTATGAGACAAGCCAAGCGCCTTGTCTCATACGTCTATTGTCTTTTGTCAATATTTAAGTATATTGCTGTAAAATATAATTATTAGGTAAAATTATTTTACAGTATAAATCATTGTGGCCGTGGAAGGAAAAGGATATCTCCCAGCCAGCCAGCAATGATGTTATGCCCGGGGAGCAGCCAACGCTCCGAGTTGTAGTTCGGAGCTAATTTATATATACTGTTACCTCGGAACTATGATAGCGCGATTTAGGCTTCGATGCGTTACGCTTGTGGCGCGACGACAGCGTCGCCACATCATTTTCAGTAATCAAAATAACGTCCACTGGGTTTCTCTCTGATTATTCCTAGGACAGAGGTATTATTCAAACTGGTGACTAAACAAAAAATCCTATAATTAAATAAATATTATTTATTGATCTATAAAAACATATAAAAAAAGTCAAGTTTCTGTCTGGTATTATCGAAATGATTGCCTTATTTTATTAGAGCTGAGGGGGCTATTTGCATAAATAATTGCCTTATGTTCATTGAGCTGATGAGGTAATTTTTGTATAAATAAAATTGAAATATCTGGCAGTGAATTAAAAATATAAAAAATATGTGTTGTAATAATAGGCTTCTGTAAAACTTGGGGTTTCAATTGCTGGGTAATAACTATTATATTTATTAGTATGATAGGTAATAACTATTTTATTTTTTTGTCTATGTGCCTGTCTGTCTGTTGGGGCTAATCTTTGGAATGGCCGAACGATAGTGATGAAATTTACGATCAGAGAGAGAGCAATGCCAGGAGTAATCTAGGCTATATTTCAGTTTAAAAAAGGTAAATTTTTTGAAAAAAAAAAAATAAAAATAATGGTCTTTTATTATCCGAAATCAAACACCACATTAGATTTTTAGTGGCTGCTACCCAGGCGAAGCAGGAGAAAGTCGCTAGTCTATTAGTAGACCATAAATCAATATTTTTTGTTACCATTTGCAGGGTCATCATCAGATGAGGAGGAGGGTGTACAACCCCACGAGAAAGCGATAGCAAGCGGGCAAGCCAATCCGCCGTACTGCGTGCGGAACGTGGAGCAACATGCGTTTGGAAGGAGAGAGATAGAGATAGCAGAGCAGGAGATGCCGGGCATCATGGCGCTGCGGGCCCGAGCCAAAGATGACAAGCCGCTGAAGGATGCCAAGGTATTAAAATTGGTTTCGGTTCGGTTTTTCCTAGTCGCCCGTATGACATCGTGATACCAAACAAATCGCACGTTTTTTCTATTTCATTTGACATTTTACATATTACACGTTAAAGAATGGGATTGAAAATGGCGTCGCCTCTATTCGCCTTTCGCTCGCACACTGTCGCTATATCTATACTCACATCCGCCGGTAAAGACCACAAAAAATTAGTTGGAATATGCGTTTTTCGGTACGTTCTATAACTTCAGTCCAACTTGTCATTGCAATCAATGGTAACAACATAAACTATGAACAAAACTCTTCTGAGAGTTTTTTAAATGGCTTTTAATGATTATCTTAAGTCTAAACAACTCAACATTAATAGATTCCACCCCAGAGAAGCCGAAGCGGGGCGCTAGTTATAAAAGTTATTTTAAAATTAGTGTACCTATTTACTTATACAATTCTTTTCAAATATTTTCCATTAATATAAAATTCCCAATTAACCGAATAATATAACGTAATATTGACGTAGAATTGGCGAGAAACTAGTTCGCCTTCCTTCTGGAACCCGTGCATTCTGGTCTCTCGCCAAGGCTGTCGAAGGGAATTTCTGTCAACCATCTCTTCTATCTCTGTACAGGGAGGACGACTAACTTGCCCATGCCGCAAAGCAGAAAGCCGATCTGCTAGGCTCTTTCTTTGCGTCCACCTCGACTCTCCATGACGGGGAGAGTACGCCGCCTATCATCCCGTGGTGTAAGTGCTCCATGCCGGAGGTGCGGTTCACACAGCGCTCGGTTCGCAAAGCACTCCTCTCCCTGGACATTCACAAGTCGAGTGGGCCTGACGGTATCCCCCCAATTGTGCTGAGGACTTGTGCTCCAGAGTTGGCACCGGTCTTAACGCGTCTTTTCCGGTATTCCTACTCCCTAGGCGTAGTCCCAAAATCATGGAAGACTGCTTTTGTCCATCCGATCCCTAAAAAAGGCGACCGCTCAGATCCGTCTAACTACAGGCCCATCGCCATCACCTCCTTGTCCTCCAAAACAATGTAGTCCATTGTAAACTGCCAGCTCATGAGGTATCTTGAGGATCACCAGCCAGTGATCGCCAATACGGTTTTCGTCGTGGTCGATCAGCTGGTGATCTTCTGGTCTACTTGACTCATAGATGGGCAGCGGCAGTAGAGTCCAAGGGGGAGGCATTGGTCGTTAATTTGGAAATTGCGAGGGCCTTCGATCGGATTTTTCACAAAGCGCTTCTTTCAAGGCTCCTTTCCTATGGGCTTCCCGAGAAATTGTGCAATTGGATCAACAGTTTCCTTGCAGATCGGAGCATGAAGGTCGTTGTAGACGGTGCAAGCTCCTTTTACAAACCTATTAATGCTGGTGTTCCACAAGGCTGCGTTCTATCACCAACGCTGTTTCTTCTGCACATCAATGATATGTTGCAAACCGGCAATATTCATTCCTATGCAGATGACAGCACTGGTGGTGCTCTGTACATCGGTCGTGCCAATATTTCTCGGGAAAACATCTTAGAGTACCGGGACAAACTTGTGCCTGAAGTCGAGTCTTTGTTGAACAAAGTCTCGGATTGGGGGCGACAAAATCTAGTCTAGTTTAACCCTCAGAAGACACAAGTTTGCGCGTTAACCGCTAAAAAGAACCGCTTTGTCGTATCTCCTCAGTTTCAAGGCTCTCCCCTTGTTGTCTCAGCCAGTATCGGAATACTCGGCGTCGACATATCGAGTGACGTGCAGTGTCGTGGTCACTTGGAAGAGAAGGCCAAATTGGCGTCTAAAAAGCTTGGCGTGCTCTTCAGAGCGTGACAATATTTCATGCCGACACACCGCCTGCAACTTTACAAGGCGCAGGATCGGCCGCACATGGAATACTGTTCCCATCTCTGGGCTGGGGCTCCTCAGTGCCAGCATCTTCAATTTGACTACATCGTCAGAGCGGCTCGAATCTTCGACGACCGAGTACTTTCCGATCGGCTCGATTTACTGGCGCTGCGAAGAGATGTTGCATTTCTTTGCGTATTTTATCACATCTATCACGGGAAGTGCTCTGAGAAATTGTTCGGATTATTCCCAGCCGCCAAATTACATGAACGCACTACGCGGCAAACCTCCCGATACCATCCACATCATCTGGATGCTTGGCGGTCTACCACTGTACGTATCAATAGAAGTTTTCTTCCGTGTACGATCTCTCTGTGGAATAGTTTACCACCGGCGATTTTTCCCGACCGATACGACCTGGGGAGCTTCAAGAAAAGAGCTTACTCCTTTCTAAAGTTATTGACGGGTTTTTGCTATTGTTACTGTCAGCGGCGAAGCTAGGGCTCCAAACTGGGGCAAGCCCAAGATATGCTTTTGTTTTTTTAGCAGTTTTAAAAATACATCTATCTTGATCTGTCTCCACTCTTCAGTTTTATAATCAGTTCTGTCGAGATTTAACAGTACACCGGGCACCAAAACATAAATTCAGCAAACAAAAAAAAAAACAAATTATTTATATTCTAAATCGAATCGTCTCTCTTTCTTAAGGAAAGATTTAATTACGTCCGCGTAAAATGTAGGTAGGCGTAAAACGTTTTAATTGTACTAATAACTGTTTTTCAATCGCGATAATTGATAAGTCTGAAAGACGCTCTTGACCTTGTGTATTTCTCAAATAAGTATGGATGCGCTTCAGAGATGAGAAAGCACGTTCCGCGGAGGAACTTGTGGCTGGAATAGTTACGACAAGATAAGCTAACTATAAAAGTTGGGGAAAGGCCTCTTCAAGACTATTTTCGTTTATAAAGTCAATGAGTTCGAAAACATTGCGGTCTTTTAATTCAGGGGAGGAATACAATGAAATCAATTGGTTTTTCAATGTTTGTTTATCAAAATGGTTTATGTAATTTTCAAATAATGAATCTAATTCCTCTAAAGGAAAATCTGAACGTTATTTTTCGAATAGTTTGTTGTTGAACAATTGGAAAAATTTTAATTTCAAAATTTCAGAATATCGGCCATTAATTTCTGAAGATATGTTATCAATTATTTCAACAAAAAGTCATTTATATTCTGTCTGACCACAGCGCACATTGCGTATCAAACGATGAGCAGAGGTATTTTGTAATGTGTTTTCATAAAAATGTGATCAAAATCTGACTGAAATTCAGTACGTAACCATATCTGAAACTCCTTTATTTTATGACTGCAATAACCGACATCAATTTGTAATTTTTGTAGAATATTGTACAAGCAGTCGGTTTTTTCAAATACCCATTGGAAAATTGAAAGAAAAAAATTGAAATTAAATGAACACAATGTGTTTTCAAAATTCTCGGCGGCCAAGATCGTATCGCCGTCCCAGTTCTGCGGATTGTCGCACATATCCGAAAACAAATTAATTAGATTATCTTTTTGTTCGAATACTGTATTCACAATTCGTGACGTATACGTCCAACGAGTTGCGGGGGCATTAGGCAATTTTTTGCTGCAATGTGCATCATAAAAAGACGACAGTTTTGTGCTGTTATTAAAAAAATTGAATAAAGCCTGAAGGGCTGAAAAACAAGTGCTGACTTCCCCAATCCTGTTACAAGATTTAGATAAAATTAATGCCAAAATGTGTGCATTACACCAAATATACATGGCTTGGGGACAAATATCTTTAACTTTTTGTTGCACTCCATTTCTGACACCGGACATGACACTTGCGCCGTCATAGCTTTGCGCAACTAGTTTTGTGGTGCAGGCATGTTTGTTTAATAATTCCAATATGATATTACAAAGTGTGTCTGCTGTGCGGCTTTCAGACACACCTACATACCCCAAAAAAACGGTCATGTATATCGTTTCCATAATAATATCGGAGAAACAGACACAATTGCTCTCTGTGACTAACATCGGGAGTTTCGTCAATAATAATTGAAACGTATTTTGACAATTTTACTTCGTACTCGATGTGAGTTTTCATTACATCAGCGATAGAATGAATAATGTTATTTTGGATTGTACTAGATAAATAACTCGGCCGTTTGTCGCTTTGTTGATATTGTATATGCTTTTCTAACACGAGATCATACTTCGAAAGAAGCGATACAAGTTCTAAAAAATTGCCTCTATTTAATGAAGTTTTCGACTCATCGTGACCTCTGAAAGGAAGTTCTTGTTGTGCTAAATGGCAAACAATATCGACTAATCTTTGAAAAACACTACGGTTGTGATCAACACGCATGTTGTGTTTTATAATTTCCTCTGATAACTGGCGCGACAAAGATGTTTCAATCCGATTTTTTCCAAAATTACTAAACGAAATTACCGCATTCATGTGTTTTTGAGAATTCATATGCCTTTTAATGGCTCCAGATAAGTTATTTAAATCGTCATATCCAGTAGTATTCCAAGCCGTTTTGTCGTTGGAAAAGAATATACAACACCAACAGTACAATTTATTGGTATGTGAGCAGCCAACAATCCAATGAGTTTTGTAAACAGATCTATTAAATTGCCGTTTATGGGTTTTACTCGTCTGAGAAATACACAGATCAGGCGTTGGTTTCGGCGAGGATTTGAGCTGTTTTTTCTCAACAAAGTTTGAAAATTTTACCTTTTCCTCGCCGATTAGCACTTTAACACACTTCAATTCATCGAACTCAAGGAACACTCTTTCCCTCCATTTCACTAAAAATCTTTAAAAAAGCATAAATTTTAAACTCGCAATACATTCGCTCAAGCTCAACACACAATGCACAAAGTAGAAGTACTTTTTGACACAATGTAAACACTAAACATTGAAATGTGACACGAACTTGCTAACATATCGTCGGCTCGTCGGCGTCGGCCGCGCGCCTCCTCTCTCGACTAACTTCATACCTAACGTGACCATACGTCCCACTTTAGGCGGGACGTTCCCGATTTAAATGTTTGTGTTGCGCTATCCCCAAAATACGTAAAAATGTCCCGCTTTGACAAACAAAAGCGTGACAATCACGCGAACCCTGTCACCCGTGCCATCATTACGACACCGCGCGTACCAGGTTTGCATAGCTTGTCTAGTTACGTGATTATTCTGAAAAGCTACACTTTTGAATTTAAAGTTACGAAGTGACAATTTTTAATTAATCTACAATAAATTATCAAATAACATAAGATATTTCCAATTAGTATTTATTTGATGTTTAGAATTCACTTTTGATCATTAAAAGACTCAAACAACTATGTGTTTTATTTATAAAACTATATTAAAGGGTTCCAGATTGATTTTTAATAATGGCGTAAGTATAATACTAACATATACAATAAGTGTAATACTACTGCTACTGAGAATTTTGTGACGGAACAACCCAATAAATGATACTTGACCCGACTCGGGTTTCGAACTTGGGACCACATGATCAGCAATTGCGTTTACTGCCATTAGACCAAGAAGGCAGTCAAAAGTGTTAGAACTATAATAATTTTAAAGGCGTCCCGCTCTGAGGAAAAAATTAATGGTCACTAAAAAGCCGGGCTTTTTAGCTCCATACTAATTGCTATTTACACAATCGTAGTTATATTTCATTATAGAACATTTTGCCACAGGTTAGAAAGGGAGCGATCGCCTTCTCGAAAGCCCGGTAAAATGCCCACGCGTGCGAGGGAGAAAACCAATCGCTCAATTAAACTCTCCTTATATGTATAACAGCAGTATTCGTAAGCTACGAGGTCGCACAGAGTGTGCGGGAAATTTGAAAGAGTTTGAAACAGTTTAAGAGTTATTTTATTACTTAATATAATTGATATTAAGTAATAAAATAAAGGATTTAGAAAGGGAATGGGATGTACAGATCAAGTCTTTTCCATGCGCATGATCGCGGGGAAGTTTCTGGCCAAAAACCAAAAGGTTTTTTGTGCGTTCATGGACTTGGAAAAGGCCTATGACAGAGTGGATAGGGATTTGCTATGGAAAACACTGAACTCATTTGGGTTGAGCGCTGGCTTGATACAGGCATTGGAGTCTCTTTATAGGGACTCTAGTGCTTGTGTTAGGATTAACGGGGTCTACTCGGACTGGTTTGACATCCATAAAGGTGTCAGACAGGGCTGTGTGGCTTCCCCGTGGCTGTTCAACCTATTTATAGACAGTTGTTTGCAAAATTTGAAAGTTGAAGAATGCGGATTAAGAATGGGTGAGTTAACCGTCAAATGCCTTTTGTACGCCGATGATCAAGTTATCCTTGCGTCGTCGGCGGCCGAGTTGCAAATGATGGTTACATTAATGAACGGATCATTAAAAGAAAGGGGTATGAAAGTGAACGTAAGTAAGACGAAGGTTATGGTTTTTGAAAGAGAAGAAAGTAAAACGATTTGTGAAATAGGAATAGAAGGGGAGTTGATCGAGCAAGTAGATGAGTTTGTATATTTGGGTTGCGTATTTAGCAGGGATGGGAGATATGATAAGGATATAGAACGACGAGTGAATGCGGGAAATAGAGTAAATGGGGCCCTGCACTCTATTGTGAAGAGTCAAAATGTGTCGAAAAAGGCACGTATGGCAATTCACAATGCTGTGTTGGTCCCTACTTTAACGTATGGTAGTGAAAGTTGAATGTGGCGGAAGAAGCACGGGAGTAGAATAAACGCAGTAGAAATGCGGTCGTTAAGGAGTATGTTAGGGCTGAATCTGAATGTCAGGGTAAAAAATTGTGTAATAAGAGAAGATTGTGATTTGCAAGATGATGTTGTGACCAGGATTAAGAAAGGAATGCTTCGGTGGTTTGGTCATGTGGAAAGAATGAATGAGGAAAGAGTGACAAAGAAAATTTATGGTGCAGAAGTGAATGGCAGAGTCGGAAAGGGACGTCCTAGGCGAAAATTTATCGAACAAATTGGCGATTTATTGAAAACGGGCCAAATTAGGAGTACCCTTAACCGACGAGCATGTATGCGTAGGTGTATGGATGTGAAGGAGGCAAGAGAGGTGTGTCAGGATTGTGCCAAATTGAAGTCTGTAGTCTCTGCCTACCCCTCTGGGTGACAGGCGTGAGTGTTTATGTATGTTATGTATGTTAATATAATTGATTGATTCATCTTAATGAGGCAAGCCGGGCTTTTGGGCTTGTATAGAAGCTTCGCCATTGGTTACTGTGCATGTTAACAGTACGGGTTCGATGAGCCCCCATTTCTAATCCCATTCTTTATCAGTACGGGCTACACAGTTTTTAATTCATTTATACACAATTTATATGCCTTTACAAAATACCCGGAAAACATTTGTCTGTCGCCTAGTTCAAAATTTTTTAACTGTTACACAATTAATAACACAAAACAATAAATGCTTTATTTCTTTTTTTGAAATAAATGCTTAATGCCCGTGCAATAAATGTTTTATTTTTATTTTCAGATAGTCGGGTGCACACACATCAACGCACAGACAGCGGTGCTTATAGAGACGCTAGCTGCGTTAGGCGCCACGGTCCGCTGGGCGGCGTGCAATATCTACAGCACTCAGAACGAGGTTGCAGCAGCCCTGGCACATGCTGGTGTGTATAGCTGTTCCCAATCCTATCGTGTACGCGCTGTATTAAAAAGTAAAAAGTTTATACGTGATAGATTCACGCTGCAGCTATGTTAAATGCTGTACCACGAATGGGTCGGCTAGACCGAGGAAGACCGAGCTTACTGCTGCTTCGTATGGTGAGTGTAGAGAACTGGAGACCTTTTTCACTGAAAATGAGACAATATATCTTAATAATCAAAGGACTGTAGCATGTCTGTCTGTGGGCTATAGCATCCACGTACCGTAATCTGGTCTGTGTGCTCATTTGTTATTCTTTTGATACTGGGGTGGACAATCAGGTTTCTGAGAGGGTTATAAAAGTTTTAATCCGTCGCGCTACTCCAGTACGTGTAAGCGTGCTGCACATATATTCGAAATGTTTTTATATCTCAAACATGCAGGCCAACCGATGAACATCGTGAGGGAATCACGTGTTCGTCGCTTAAGGGTACATTTAATTTGGCCCATCTTCAATAAATCGCCAATTTGGTGGATAAACTTCCTTCTATTGCGACTCTTGCCGAGTTTGCCACTCTCAATTCTGCATCATAAATTTACTTGTCATTCTTTACTTATTCATTCTTTCTACATAATACTACTACCAACACAAACTTTGCATTGACATATATGTACCTGACTATATATATATATATATATATATATATATATATATATATATATATATATATATATATATATATTTGTTCGGTAATTAAAGCGTCAATTTTGGTAATTCAAGGGGCAGTTGATGATGATGATGATGAATGATTTGCACAATTGGTCACATACAATTATTTTTCACAAAATCATTTTTATTTTTAATTACTTATCTTCTGTTTGGAAAAAGTTGTACTTTTAGTAGCGTTACTTCGAAAATGATGAGACTTTTTGCACACTGTAGTATTGGTAAATAAGTATCCAGGTTTCATTAAGTAAAAAAAATGAAAATAATACAGCTGTAAGTTTTTTTTTAGAAATTTTTGACACCAGACTTTTGGGATTTTTGAAAAAAAATAATTAAACCTAAATATCTCGAAATTGGTCCACATTTGCATAATGCATTTTATGGTTCATTTGATAGGTTATGACCCTAACTATCACGCCTTGGCGGGAATACGTCGAGTTACCAGTAACCCTGTATACTGTAGATATAAAAACTGCCCCTTGAATTACCAAAATTGACGCTTTAATTACCGAACACCAATTACAATTTAAGACACACAAATAATAAATGACAATTCGCAGTTAAATCGCTTCGAAGTATTCGCTTGTATTGCCAATTCAATGCTGAGTCAGTCGCGGTCCTTATTGGCCAAATATAGGGCCTTTTCCACTAAAACATCTAAAATGTTCGAGTACATAGCGGTCCAGATCGACTAGGTGTAGAGTGTTCTAGTATGGAATTCTCCAGAAAGCTATTCTAGTTCTGCTACTCGATATTAGATGGCGCTAGTGGCATTAATTTATGGTGCGCAACAATATAAAAATCTTAATAGGACATTGCGTGCAGCCGTGATAACTCAGGTCGATTAGTATATCTAGCAAACGGTAGGTGCTATTGATTGCAGTTTTAAGTGGTAATTGACCATATGTTCTATGGTAGAGAAATAACACCAACATATCATAATATAGGTTTCCCCGTGGAAGGAAAAGAGGAGATTTCGCGTCGGTCAGTGTTTAGCCAACACTTCGCCCGGCGTTCGGCGGTCAACGCCCCGTGTTCTAGTTAATGAGCTTTTCTCTACATACCGCAGTACTTCGAAACATTGATAGTGTGATTTAGACTTCGGTGCATTTCGCTTGTGGCGCGGCGACAGCGCCGCCATATAAGCATAATCATAAGCATGTCTGATAAATTATAAAATACTTCGAGGATACTCTTCCTTCCTCAACATGCTTTGGGGTGGCGCCTGTCTTTTTGCTCCATAACCCTTTCAGAATACTATTTATGTGTGTGTGATTTTTTTTTAATTTTATGTATATACTTAAATTGTGTACTTGTGAATGGTTGATTCAGTATTTTTTAAATAGAAAGTTAGCACCGATAATGACGCGGGCGCAATACAGAATGAATATTTATCAGGGCTCCGTTGAAAATCAGTGCTGCTGCAGTACCTGCGGCAGCATATGCTGAGACAGAATCCTTTTTGGCATCACATCACTCACTTTTGCCAAGATTTATTTTTAATTATGTTTATCATCTTGTACCTTGTGTGTTTTTATATTGTTATTTACTTCTAAATGTACATTTTGTTAGTGTATTGATGCTAATAAAACCTATGTCTATGGTGCTATAAGAAGCGACAGAGGGAAATTTAAACAGATGAGTGAACTCAAAATAATTAAAAACTGCGGTTGCCACCCGCTTGCCAAGCGTGGCAACTATAGCAGATATGTGAGGCATATATGGGCGAGGCCTATGTTCAGCTGTGGGCTTTTGTAGACTGTAATGGATAAAGTAAATAAATAGATGTTACTTAATTTTTGCTTACTTAATATAATTATGTAATGTTTCAAGGTTTCGCAATATTCGCGTGGCGCGGCGAAAGCGAAGAGGCTTTCTGGTGGTGTATAGACCAGTGTTGCACTCCGACGACGAACTGGCAGCCGAATATGATCCTCGATGATGGGGGAGATGCGACGCATCTAATGCTAAAGAAGCACCCGGCAGCCTTCAAGCAGATCAAGGGTAAGAACGGTCAGGGTTAGAGTAGCTTTAGTAGAATGCTTACTTCATTTCTGGCTCTGATAAGAAGATGCGTCACTTGTGGCGTCTATGGACTATTCTTCACTACATCTCGCTCTGTATGAGTTGATTAAGTGAATCGTCAGATATAATTTTGTAATATGCTGATCATTTATACGTGATAATACGATAGACGAACGTCGTTTATACACGATCATTTTATACGTGGTAGAGCCATGCTGATATTTGTACGCCGACTCTCGCTACAATATATCGCGTAAGAAATCTGCAAGACTCCACCTACTGGTACGAACGTAGTATATTTTTTTTCAATGTCAATGAACTATTTTATGGAAATAGACACGGCAGACAATGATAAATGTATTTTAATTTTCTTTATTCGGTATATTAGTTGCATTATATTAGAATTATGTATTCTCATATATTATCTAATTAATAAAAATGACTATTTTGATTATTATTAACTATATACTATACTGCTAATATTGAATTAGCTTTTTATAGTGTAAATTATAAGATTTATCGAAATGTTAATTATGGATTCGAACTTTACATGCTAATGGTGCTTCATTTTTGTTATTTTCATTTACTTACATATTGAAAATATACTTGAATAGTAGGTATTATTATTTTATTTAGCTACTGAATTTTAGGATATGTTTTACCTTGAGGTCAAATATAATTTTGAGGAGCAATAGTTATTACTAATCTTTTATCTGCTATTCCTTATTTAGGAACAATATTAGTAAATTGAGTTTGAGGGAGATTTACTGTTTATAATGCTACATTTATTATTTTAATATTTACCTACTGGGTAGGTATTAGTAACTAAATAGATATTTTTTACCCAATTACAATAACTAATGAGGTATTGTGATTATTTGTGATTAAATAGAACAAAATAAAATATAAAGCCAATTTTATTATCTTGAATGTAAGAAATTGATTACAAATTTTTTAACTTCCTTAAATTATAAACAAACAGCTATATAAGTGCTATATAAGTGGTTGTATCATATATATATATATATATATATATATATATATATATATATATATATATATATATATATATAATATAAAATATATATTACATTTAGATACAAATTACATGAATAATATTTTTTGATCTTATTGACATAATACATAAAACTGAACTGGTTATTTGAATAAAATTTTAATTTGATATTCAAATTAATCACCCATACAATCTGTGTGATGCATCTTTGCCAGCGCAGTTTATTGATGCCGTTCTTGAAGAAATCAACTGGACGGGTAAAGAACGGAAGTCTTTTGGCGCAAGGTCTAGTCAGTACGGTCGATGACGGAGAGCTTCCTATCACAGCTCTTGTAACTTGGAGACCGTCTATTATGCGGTATGAGGTCATACGGGGACGAGCGATTGACCGGAGCTGGTTGGAGATGTGCACGCTTCTCCATCACTGTGTACAGTTCTTCACAGTTGACAGTCCTACAGTTAAAATTTTATTTTCTATGGAAACACTTTCCTATTTTTCAATAATTGGGTATAATATATATCATCATCATCATCATCATCACAGCCCTTCACAAGTCCACTGCTGAACATAGGCCTCCCCCAAGTAATGCCACAAAGCACGGTCCTGAGCCACCTGCATCCATCGACTTCCTGCATATCTTACCAGGTCGTCACTCCATCTAGTGGGGGTCGCCCTACACTACGCCTACCGGTACGAGGCTGCCACTCGAGAACCTTTCTTCCCCATCGGTTATCGGTTCTTCGAGCTATATGGCCGGCCCATTGCCACTTCAGCTTACTAATCCGTTGGGCTATGTCGGTCAATCTGGTTTTATTGCGGATATCCTCATTTCTGAGTCTATCACGCAGAGAAACTCCGAGCATAGCCCTCTCCATAGCTCGCTGAGCGACCTTGAGCGTCCTCATACGGCCAGCAGTGAAGGACCACGTCTCTGATCCGTAAGTCATCACTGGCAACACGCACTGGTTGTACACTTTAATTTTCAGAGATTGAGGTATACCTGACGAGAAGATATGTCGTAATTTCCCGAACGCTGCCCAGCCGAGTTGAATCCGTCGATTGACCTCTCGGTCGAAGTTGGATTTACCTAGTCGGAATATTTGTCCCAGGTAAACGTACTCGTCAACAACTTCGAGCATAGTGCTCCCAACAACTACCGGCATAGGTGTGACATGGACATTAAACATAATCTTTGTTTTGTCCATGTTCATCTTAAGACCTATCCGTTGGGAGGCACTATTGAGGTCATTGAGCATAGTGCTTAAGTCCTCCAGCGATTCTGCCATAAGGACTGTATCGTCGGCAAATCGAAGGTGAGTGATGTACTCGCCATTGATGTTAATACCGTATCCTTTCCAGTAATATATATATATATATATATATATATATATATATATATATATATATATATATATATATATATATATATATATATAAGAAGGAAGATTCATTGTTGACAATAGCTCGTTTAGTTGCGAATTTCCCGCGCCTATTTCAATCATACCTGCGACTGCATATTCATTTAATGATAAATAATTTTCACTACAATCATCCTTTACTATTACAAATTTTTGGTTACATAATTGGCATTTAAACGTAAATTATGACTCTTAAGCCTTTTGTGTTTCTCCGATAAGTTGTAGTTCGGTAAAGCTGCAACCTAATGGACCATGATCTGAAATTTTAATGAAAAGAAGTGGCTGACGTCAATTATTATTCTTCTTATTATTTTTTCATTACTGCCTTTTTCAACCTCACAAGATATTTGTAACTGCAAAAAAGAAAACTACGTATAAGTAAGTAAATCAGTAATATAGTGTTATGTATGGTTCAGACTAAATAAAGGTTCCTAAAAATAGACGTAGATAAAGAAATTGCATAAAAATTACTTAAATAAAAATGCAATAAACTTGTTAATTTTATAGGTAGTAATATATTAAAATAATAAGTTTTTTTGGATATTTATGTAAAACATAAAGGTTATATTATGTTCTAACTACCTTCACGCTTGCGCATATAAAACCGCGGAATTTCACTAGTTTTATTATCAAAATAATAATTGACAACCCTACCTTAAGTTTGCCTTGATTTTACCAACTCATACTCGTTTTAGAAGATCAAAACATAGAGAGAAAGATAGGAGACTATTTTTTATTTAATATGGTTCATCAAATCCGTAAAAATAGTTTAAAATACTCACACAATAAAATTTTGAAGTGCAGATAAAATATCTGCGACATCATTTATCAACATTTGCACAATTCTGACGTTCACAGACGTTTCACAACTTTTTGCCAGAACCAAAAGTAAGCGCTGGCGTGCGACAAAATACATAAAAAATAAACCCTCGAGGGGAGATGAGCCGTGGTTGCTCAGATAGTTATCGCTCGCTGAAATTTTCACAGTGCGCGAGCAAACCGGGTTCGATCCCCGCCGGCACCAATGAAATTGTAATTGCAATTTTAAGTGTTGATTTACCACGTGCTCAGCGGTGAAGGAAAACATTGTGAGGAAACCGGCATGTCCGAGAAATAAGAAAAAAGTATTTCGAAGACATGCGAAGTTCGCCAACACGCATTGGGGCAGCGCAGTGGACAATTTTGCAGGACAAATGAGCGAGGCGTATAACTTTAAGATTAACTTTAACTCTAGCTCGAATAGCCTACTAATGAAATTCAAATGATCGTTTTAGGCAAAGTAAGGCTAGGTAAGTCAAATAAAGGCATTTTACAGTACTTAATTAGATATCTTTTACCTAATCACAAGCACAAGTGTGTACCTAATCACAATACCTACTAAAGTATTTTGATTAGGTGGGTACACATTTGTGCACCATAATATCTACAAACCAAAAAATTAAATAAACAAACCTTTACATCTTCAACCATTTCAGTTGAACCAAGACAGTTATACTGTAATTATGTGGTTTCTTGACTCAAGTAGTTTACTGCCGTATCGTCATTGTTCGTATTTAGCCTGCAATAAACAATAAATTATATTAGATCTTGCATGAAAACAAAACGGAATTACTTATATAAATCATTTAGATACATATTTTAGCTATATATTTGAAAAGGTTCATATTATTTATAATATAGTAACCACAAAAAATATCACATCAAATTTCATAAATTCTGGTTATAATTTCATAACTCTATGGACTCAAAAGTGCGCCCGACTTCCTCATTATCATTTTCAATTATTGGTAAACTTCAATAATTATTTTTGTCGTTAAAATCGCATTAGTACCGCAAAGTAGAAATGCGGTCGCTAGGAGTATGTTAGGGCTGAATCTGAGTGACAGGGTGAGAAACTGTGTGATAAAAGAAGAGTGTGGTTTGCAAGATGATGCGGGGACCAGGATTAAGAAAGGAATGCTTCGGTGGTTTGGTCATGTAGAAAGAATGAATGCGGAAAGACTGACAAAGCAAATATATGTTGCAGAAGTGAATGGAAGAGTCGGAAAGGGACGTCCTAGGCGGAAGTTTGTCGACCAAATTGGCGATATACTAAAATGGGCCAAATTAAGAGTACCCTTAACCGACGAGCATGTATGCGTAGGTATATGGATGTGGAAGAGGCGAGAAAGGTATGTCAGGATCGTGCTAAATGGAAGTCTGTAGTCTCTGCCTACCCCTCTGGGTGACAGGCGTGAGTGTTTATGTATGTATATATGTAAAATCGCATTCAGGTATTTTTCTTCTCCTCCTAAAATAAAAAAATACTATGTAATAACACGTAGGAATTTAACGGAATAAAAGTAAGTGAACTTTGCATAATACATCAAATTACTTACAGAATTTCATTCATCTTTAGAGAATTTTGACGTCGTTGACGTTTATTCTTCTTGAATTTAGGCATTTGCACTAATCACACAATAACACAATCGTAGCGTCTTTTTGTAGTAAAAAACACGTAAGCGCATCGGTTGGTAGGTACTCAAATAATATTATGTTTGCGGCGAAATACGGAACGTCGACGACGGCGACGAGCGACACAGCTACCTCGTACGAACGCATACAGCGTAATGCCGCCCGCACTCTGCGCACGCCCCTTTATCATAGAATTCACACAATTTTTGGAATTATTTAAATTAAAAAAGAAAAACGAACTTAAAAAATTAAATAAAACGTGGAGAATATAGATTTTTAAATTATCTATTAGTGTAATCCTCAAATTATTACAGCGTTGCGTTTAGCAACAGATGCATATATTCAAGAATTTTAGTTATTTTTTAAAAGTTGATTTTAAATGTATTTATAGCACATAAAAACAAATTAAACGTGGAATGTGATGATAAGATATCGAACATTAATAATGTGCTTTTAGATGTAGTTTATTTTTCATAACTAATGAGATAATAGAGTCTGAAAAACGCACTTTCACAACATTTTGGTCAGGGATACACCTTAATGCTGCTGTGTTTCGTATGGTGAGTGTAGAGAACCGGAGACCCTATTTACCGGAAACGAGGCATTCTATCTTAGTCCTCACGGGTGACAACGCGTCTGCATTTTGATTCGTAAGCGAGAATAGGTGTAGATGTCTACGGGCCATAGCAAGCACTTACCATCAGGTGGACTGTGTGCTCGTTTGTTACCCTATCCTATAAAAAATCCAAAAGTTGAGACGGCTACGTGTCGCAGTGGTTTAGCTTGAGTTGCTGTGCTGAGGAGAAAATAGGGAAACAGGAGAAAATCCTAGTGTGAGGGTAGCGTTTTTAAAAAACAATAAAAACGTTCCAAAATACTTTTACAATAAGCATGGCAACTGCCATTGAATACTATAATACACAATGGAATGGCTGTCAACCTTATTTTGTATCAAGGTTCGGCATCGCCGGGAGCACACATACAAGCAATTACGTCGTATTATCAGTTAATTACTCTACAAACCCGATTCGCTGTGTTGACAGACGGATTTTAAAATGTATTTATTTGTAAATAGCGTGCAATTTGGCATTTTCTAAATAATTTGCACGCGAAATTTGGAAACGATTGTAACTTCAAAACACATCTCGTGTTGACATTTATACGTATGAATTGGCGTGTTAGTGGCATTTTAGTGGCTACACGGGCTCCGCTCGCACCCCCGTTCTATTATGTATGTATTATAGTATTCTATGGCAACTGCTAAGAAGATTACCTTCTATATACATTCCTGAAAGTTTGACTATAATACTATCATGGTCAACTCTATCGAATGTTTTAGATGGTCATTATGATGCATCTAGTCAACCTCCGATTTTAACGTTCCTACATAAGAAGTGACGAAGAGAAAGACCTGCAAAATCTTGTGGTTACCGATAGGTACATTATTGTTTAAACTTATTTTATTTTTAACGTATTGTATAAAACAGCAGGTGGTGATAAAAACAGACAGACGATAGGAAACAGGGACTTAGAGATCACCAATCCACCTGACGTGATAACCAATGGGGTTTTTAGCTTTTAGTTTTTGTGTTAATAGTATATGTATTTTTAGGATTTTAAGTCGATTTTAAGTAACTTCACTTTAAGCATAGCATTACGGCGGTATCATGAAATATAAAATAATACTACAGTATAATAAAGAATACGTATGACCTTTTAGATTTAACGAGGGAACCGATTCAAATAATCAAAATTTTTATTCCTGTACTTTTGTGAGAAAACATTCAATATGAGTATAATATAATCAAAATTTGTGTAATTTGAAATTAAAATAAAATTTAGTAAATTTATAGACTATATACGTCTAACTGCTGGGCACAGATCTCACGTTTCCAAGTTTATAGGGTTATAAAGCAATTAGTAAGCCGCGTTGTTCCAATTTGATTTTCGTGGAATTTTATTTCATTTCTTAGATATGGCCCTTGCCATGCCTAAGAAATGAAATAAAGAGCCGTGGTAGTTCAGGGGCTAAACGCTTACTGTTTCACAGTACGCGAGCAACCCGGGTTCGATCCCCGCCGGCACCAATGAATTGTTAATTGCAATTTTAAGTGCTGATTTACCACGTGCTCGGCGGTGAAGAAAAACATCGTGACGAAACCTGCATGTCTGTGAAATAAGAAAAAAAAATTCGAAGACATGTGAAGACGCCAACACGCATTGACATTTACTTTTTTATAGGATAGGGTGACAAACGAGTACACAGTCCACCTGACGGTAAATGGTTGCTGTGGCCCATAGACATCTACATCTATCCTCGATTACGAATCAAAATGCAAATGCGTTGTCACCCGTGAAGACTAAGATGGAATGCTTCGTTTCCAGTAAAAGAGGTCTCCTGTTCTCTACACTTACCATACGAAACACATCAGTATTAAGTTACTATTTTACGTTGGTATTCTATGAGAGCGTGGTCCTGCCCCAGTCGAGCCGACCCATTCGTGCTACAAATATACTACTAATATAACTGCAGCATGGCTCTACCACGTATAAAAACTACTTCCAATTTGCCCTAAAACCTCTCAGAAATGAGAGGAGTCCTGTGCCCACCAGTGAGACGTATCTTAAACTATATTTTTTAAAGTTTCTTAGACATGTAAGTTCAAGCGATGTTTTACTTCACCGCCGGCCGGCGGGGATCGAACCTATATTACTTACGTACTGTGTATAGTGTAAAATTTGATGTAAATGTAATTGAAAGTAATGTTTCCTCAGGCATAGTGGAGGAAAGCGTAACCGGAGTCCACCGTCTGTACCAGTTGAGCAAGGCGGGGAAACTCTGTGTCCCCGCCATGAACGTGAACGACTCCGTCACCAAGACCAAGTTTGACAACTTGTACTCGTGCCGGTGAGTGTCGCATCTTAAAGAACAAAAAAGAAACATTTATTTGATATTCACATGGGAACTTAAACATGTTATACTCAAGTGTTTTTATGTGGTGGTATGGTAGTGTTAGAAAATCCGTTACCCCATTTTGTCCTGTGGTGGTCATGAGAGGCTGTGGTACCTAAATCCCATGTGTATGCCCTTGGACTACTGTCGTGAAGTGCACATAACACAAGCATATTATTGGTATTAATAGCGTGCTGGTGTATTCTTTTATAGAATAGGACTGACAAATTAACACACATGTTATTTGATGGTAAGTGTATGCTGAGGCCTATACACGTCTTTATCCTCGATTAAGAAACAAAATGTAGAGGCGTTGTTACCCCTGACAACTAAGATATTATGTCTCTGGGTCTCAATACTCACCATACGAAACACAGCAGCATTAAGCTGCTATTTTACGCTGGTACTCTTTAGTTTGAAGTCCTTCTCCGGTCTGCAAACATAATATAGCAGCAGAGTGGCTCTACCGTGTTGAACTTTTACAAAAATGGAAAACAAAAAAAAACATAAAGTAAATGCAATTTTACAACAGTTAGAATTCCCGCCAAAATTACGTTAGTTTACCAGATATACAAATACGTGTTTAATCGTTTACTACGCGAATCGTGTATCATCTATACATAATAATAACAATAATAATCAATTACTTTATTTTGATAAACTGTACAAATTATTCCAATAAGTCTTAACTTAAAAATAGTCTACAATAACGGGCATCTGAACTAGGATTAACCTGTGGCTCTGGTGTACGTGCTAATAGATACTTTAACAAATATTTTCTGTTTCATATATAAAATAAATAACTTCTCTATTTGTTATTTGGGTAAAATATATTATCATTAATTTACTTATGATATTAATTAACTTAAAACAATCAGCAACTTCTACGTATCATCGTATGACAAATTTTGTAACCATGTTCGAATTACCTTTTTACAATCTGCCATATTTAATGGATATATGTACAAAATTGCATTGACTTGATTATACAAAAAAGGGCCGAGGAATGTAAAAAATCAATGCATGAAATAATGCCTTATTCTAATGTTAGTTTCAATTACTTTATCTTTGCGTCTTTTATCAGTGACCTCTCTTCTGTAGGGCAATTTTAAGTGCTGTTTTAGTAACGTACTCATAACGAATAACTGGCGCACTGAGAGGACCTTATAGGATTCGTATAAGAGATGGGATGGAAATAGAATAGGGCAGAATGTTGCAACTTTTAAAACACCTCTTTGAGCGCGTTCCAGTGGTAGTAGTGTAGTTTTAGCTGCTCCACCCCATGAGGTTATACAATAGGTGAGTATTGACTGACATAATGCGTAATAACTTACTTGTTTTACTACCTTAATATCAGCAAAAGAACGATTTTTTTTAAAAACAAACATTAGTTTACGAACTCTATTGCATAGGTGGCTTATGTGGTTTTTAAATGTAAACGTAGAATCTATAATTATTCCAAGGTACTTCCGTGGTAGCTCAGTGGTTAACGCTCGCTGTAAATATAACAGAACGCGAGTAACTCGGGTTCGATCCCCGCCGGCACCAATGAAATTGTTAATTGCAATTTTAAGTGCTGATTTACCACGTGCTCGGCGGTGAAGGAAAACATCGTGAGGAAACCTGCATGTCTGAGGAATAAGAAAAAAAATTTTCGAACACATGTGAAGTTCGTCAACACGCATTTCGGCAGCGCGGCGGACACTTCCTTGCCCTAAACCCTCTCAGAAATGAGGGGAGGCCTGAGCCCAGCAGTGGGACGTATATAGGCTGTAACTTTACTTTACTTAATAGTTTTTGTATTAGAAATAACTGGGCAGAACATTTAGACTCTTTGACTGAGTAACATTGATGTGCATAAATTTCTGGAATGGTTGTATGCTGGGTTGAGCTGCGAATAGAAAAATGAATATATTTGGTTTTGTCCGTATTCAGTGTTAATATATTTTGTTGGAGCCATTTATTAACTCTATCAAAACCTTGCTGAGCATATAAAAAAACCTTGTCAACTGTATTTGCGGAAAAAAATAGCACGATATCATCTGCGTAAGATATTATTTTACCTGAGTTTAGTTCAAGATTGCAAAGGTCATTTATATAAATCAAAAATAGGGTTGGCCCTAATACACTTCCTTGAGGCACGCCAAAATGAGTATTTTTTTGTTCAGAGCTAACAACCTTATCGATTTTTATGTATTGATATCGATTTTCTAAATAATTCTCAAAAAATTTAAGCTGCTTACCTCGAATACCTATGACTCACGAATTCGAGTAATGTCTTTTTTCTAGTCAATTTTTTTTAGTAATGTCTTGACTTAATTCTTTCACTTCAACATGCAGTACAGACTCTGGAACATATTACCTAGAAATATAAAAGAAGCAAAAACTAAACCTATCTTTAAACGTTTACTCTGGGAATATTACTTAAAGAAGCAGTAGTAAGAAACGTTTTCGGATTATAATACGAAAACTTTAAAAAGAAAACTTCAGAAACTGTTATATTCTCAAGTATGTATATGTATAAAAATATCATATTTATTTATATGTGTATCGTATAAGGTTATTGTCGGTATTTGTGTATATATATAAAATAATATTGTATGCAGTTGTAAGTAGTAATGTAAATGTATATGTATGTGTATTGTTTATTATCATTATATTACTAATTTTGATATTTTATTCCTTAAACCTGTTTAAAATTATTTTTTTTAATTGTATGAGTTTTGCACCCATCACTAGATTACTCTGCACAAACCAAAGGTAGACTGGTAGTAGAATGCCTTTAGGCATTAAGTCCGCCGTTTTGTACATTTCTTTTACGTGTGCAAATAAAGCTTAAATAAATAAATAAATAAATAAATAATGTAATCGTATTATTACGACCTTGGGGTTCGAGACAATTAAAAACTGCCGAGTGAATTACCAAAATTGACACTTTAATTACAGTACACATTAAAACACTAATTACAACTTAAATCTAGATACACTAATAACAAAACACAATTGTACTACTGATCACTTTAATTCGCAGATACTTCATAGTATTCGCTTGAATCGCCAATTAAATACTCACTCTCGGGTCGCAGAGTATACCGGCCTTATATAGTTCTAAAACCTTCCACTGTAGAACTGAATCCCGACTGACTAGATATCGATAGTTCTAGCAAGTTCTTTCATGGAAATTTCTAGAAGGATCTTGTCTCTCCTTGTTCTGCTACATGATACTAGAAGGCGCTAGTGGTAACTAGTGTTAAAAAAAATTAATTACAGCTTGTCTAAAGTCCAGTGCTGAACATAGTGCGAGTCTCTAAAATTAGTTCATAGAAGGGATTCTGCCATATTTACCACACTGAGTTGTCGATACGAATAGTCTACCGCAGTTTTTTATATTCATATGCAAGAAGATGCTCCTGTCCATTTGCTGTTTAATTTTCTCTCTGTTGCTTAGGACTACCTCAGGATGATTATGATAATAGGTAATGGATTCTCTTGAGCCACATCTATATACGGTGATCATTTTATTTGCTTAAATTTAAATATAGAATCACAATTATCCGTAGTGCCGCACGTGCGGGCTTAAAAGAATTGGTCACTGTACTTCGTTCTGCGAATAACAAGTGAATATGAGAAAATTCAAAAAGTTTTTATAGCTTCCGACAGATGGCGGTTTAGTCTTAAAAAGTTTCTTCTATTATGTTCGTGAAATGTCAAAAAAACCTGCACAATGCCTACCACTGCTCAGCGGACGAGGTTTTGACCACAGTTATTGAAAGTCCAAAACTGCCTACTCCAGTTTCCATTGACTGTTGATGAGAAGGAGCATTACCAATGTTATGGTTTCAGCTCTGCTGTTATGTACCAATCTCCCCAATTAGTAAAGTATAGGCAAGTGTATGAGTGATGACAGATGTATGGAAAATCAATTTTAGATTTCCTATAGATTCTTCTTCTAGAGTTATTTTTAGAAATTGGGATTATTATATCTGTTGCAAATATTAAATGCTACTTGTAATGAAATTCTTTTAAATTTACACAAATGTGTCATTAACAGGTTTTATTGGGAACGCGCCAATCCCTCAAGAGATAATCGACAGAAACGGTCAACCGGTAATTGGCTCACCTCTGATCAACATAGCTGATAGACTCGTTGTGGATGCTATAAGAAGAGCCAGTCTTACAAACCGACCTTCGATTGTAAAATATCCACCCGACTATTTCAATAGTTGTTATGAGTGATGTCGATGCTATTAATTGCTAATTAAAACCCTATTATCCCTTTTTAAGGCAGTGGCCACTATATTGCCACCAATTTTAGAATTTTTTTTCAGGCAACTTTTTATCTTTCTGGTATTTTTTTTTACTGGCAAGCTTGAGATGTCCTGTCAACGTATATTTTTTGTTGTGTGGGAATTGTCAAATTCAATTGACAATTTTCAAACTTTGAAGGGTAAAAACAGGTGATTTTGTGTAACGTGTAACAAATCTAGCTCAATCTTTAAAATCTTTTGGGAAACTGGTAAGAGTTTGCATTTATTTCAATAATTACGTATGTCACTTGTACGATCGAGTAGTATTTTGTAAAATTACGTTTATTATTTTGATAAAATTTTGTATTTAACTGGTGGCAATATATCTGCCACTGCCCGTGTAGATAATAATATTACAGTATTTAATGCAGGTGAAAATGCCGAAAATATTGTCTGATGACGATATAAAAAATGCACTGGACGAGTTATTTGGCTTACTCGACGACCCCGACATTTCGGAGGACGAATACGAACAAGAACCGGATAATTTAGATACGTATGAAGGTATGACGCTATATGATATTCTTAGTGGTGCGAACGTAACCGATTCTACCCAGGAGAAAAACGACTCTAATTTAGAAGAATCATTTAATCAGCCGTCAACATCTGGTCTACATTTAGACAGCCGCAACAATGAGTCTACTCAGGTGAAACACGACTCGGACGACGAACGTGAGACATCAATTCATTCCTCAACATCTGGTCTTCATTTAGACAGACGCCGTAACCGTTTACTTGACTCTCCTCCTGAACCACCATTCAGCCAACTTCCTACAGCTGTTGATACAATTTCTGAAACTGATGATTCGGATGGTGCAGAAGATCAGTGGAAAAAAGTTATCTGGTCTCAACAACCAAACGTGGATGATTTTGACCGTGTTCGTTTACAAGGAACTCAATTCCTTTCATCCCAGACAAGGCCTACAACATATTTCACACGTTTCTTCGATGACGATATTTTTACACATATTGTAACACAAACCAATCTCTATGCAGAACAAAATCAAAGTCGTAACTGGACACCTGTTTGTTGTGATGAAATTAAAGCTTTCATAGGCATAATAATTCTAATGGGGCTCCATCCATTAACGACTGTTGATTTATTTTGGGCTAGCGATCCATTTTTCCGCGTAGATGAAATCGCATCCATAATGCCAATCAAAAGATTTAAAAAAATCCTCGAAAACCTGCATTTGAATAATAATGAGCAAACGCCTCAAAGAGCTACAACAAATTTTGATAAATTATTCAAAGTAAGACCAATACTGGATTTGCTGAATATTGCATGTCAGCGAGAAGCGAAAACAACATCGTCACAATCAATAGATGAATCGATGATTCGATTCAAGGGACGTTCAACACTAAAACAGTACATGTCCTTCAAACCCATCAAGAGAGGATACAAAGTTTGGGTAAGAGCTGATAGCAAAACTGGTTATGTTTACGAATTTAGCATTTACACTGGTAAACGTGAAGACCAAGCTCCTGAAGTCGGTCTAGGAGTCAAAGTAGTGAAAACTCTCACACAAAAACTCATTGATCAAGGCTTCCGAGGACATGTAGCTTTTGACAATTTCTTTGCATCTTATGAGCTCTTGCAATATTTGTTTGAAAACGGAATATATGCCACCGCAACCGTCAATTCTGGGAGATCTGATTTGCCACTAATACTATAAAACGCTAAGAAAAAGAATGTATCAAGACAAGAAAAAATACATTTAGAGAGAGGTGAATATAAATGGCGTACTAAAAATAATGTTTCCTTTATCATGTGGCAGGATACAAAAATAGTTACAGTTTTGACCACCGCATTTCACCCCAAAATTTGCCAAACTACATGTGTAAGAAAGCAGAAAGACGGTACAAAAAAAACGTATCCTTGTCCAACAGCGGTACTTGAATATACAAAACGTATGGGCGGTGTGGATCGTTTCGATCAGAAGCGGAGTACATATGAAGTCGGCAGAAGAAGCAAGAAATGGTTGCTTTGCATTTTTTATTTTTGCATAGACCTAGCAATAACAAACTCGTACCTTCTCTACAGTTCAAACAGCCGCGTCCACAGTATTATGCCACAATTAGCGTTTAGATTATCTTTGGCACGTGGTCTTATAAATAATTTTTCATCAAGGAGAAAGAGCTTGGATACCCAACCAATGTATCATAATAAGAAGCCCAAGATGTCAGATAATTACCAAAAAACCGGCTCTGTAATCGATGACCTTCATTTTGCCAGTGTTGGAACACATAAACATGAACGTTTGCCAACTTATCGGCGATGTCGTGTATGTAGCACAAAGACAAACAATAAAAGGTCAAAAATTCAATGTTCCAGATGCAAGGTTCCACTCTGTGTGGTACCTTGTTTTGATATTTACCATGAACAGAAATAAAAAGTTGCATTAAGAATAAACCTTATTTTATTTTTGATAGTCTTTTACAGGCAGCGGCAACTATATTGCCACCAAATTTTCCAAAATTTTCCCTTCGATTTTCACGAAAAAAAAAATACATAAGGCATTCATAACATATTGGCTTACAAAATCCGTTTAGTTTAAATTTGTAACTGTCCTAGTTCCCTCTGCCTTATAAAGGGTTATAGAGCCACGAGAGAGAAAAAAAGGAAGGGGCGGTGAAGTAGTTGCTCGTTTTTACTTTCTTTTGCCAAATGTTTATATAATACTATCAGAGGTAGGTTTAGGTGCAGTAATTATATTCGTCCGCAGGCTAGGATGCAAACTAAAAAAAACCGAAATTATTTATAAATTATTTAATTTATTTAAAAGCTAAAAGTTTTTTTTTAATTCTAAGACGTGTGACCAATGTTCGATGAGAGAAATAATCGTTAAATGTAATAATCGACAATGGAAGCGGAATCAGTGACTAAATGTTTCCACGGTGGCATCTTTCTTGGTGTAGCTTGGTAGGTCCCATGCGGAACGGCGAAACCCTTCTAGCAGGTGTTGGTATGCGTCAGCGAAATTTATTTCGAATTGACCCGAAATCGATTTATAACATCGTGAATTAAAAATTTAAATTGAATCTTTTATATTTATTAACTGTCTTCGCTACGTGACATAATCTGTGAATGTTGTTAATACCGACTCAGAGGTTTATTGTCGCTTGGGCGTTGGCGGCACTACTGATCTGCGGTCGGGCTACAGTGTCGTCTGCCGCTAGGCAAACGACGCGACATGTCGCTAGCTACGGAACGTATTTGATAGAACTACATAGAAACCAGTAGTGTCGCGACGCGGCGACACGTCGCTTGCTGTCTGCAGTCGGCTATGGAATTGTGCCATTGTAAGAAATCATTATGTACCTTTAGTATTGAATTTTTCGACAGAAACAATAAAACAGGAGATAGATAATAGAATAGGCAGGAGAGCTACAACTCGGAATAATAATAAAAAATGCGATTGTCTGCCAATCGTGGCAAATATGGCAAATATTCCCCCTATGAGCAATTCATAGAGGAGGCATAAGTTCAGCAGTGAACTTTTACTTTTGTGGCAGTGGAATGATAATGAATGATTCATTTAATATGATTATAATATGTACGTAATATGAATAATATCTCATTTTAGAGAATAATTGGCACTTGTCCGGTTTTATCTCCACATATCCGTCCAGATATTACATAAAAAACAACTACGGAAAGTGCTGATAAAGTATTTACCAAAATATGAATTACAGTTACGTCCTATGCGAAAGTTTATCGACCAATTTGGCGATATATTGAAAAGGGGCCAAATTAGGAGTACCCTAAACCGACGAGCATGTATGCGTAGGTATATGGATGTGGAGGAGGCGAGAGAAGTATGTCAGGATCGTGCCAAATGGAAGTCTGTAGTCTCTGTCTACCCCTCTGGGTGATAGGCGTGAGTGTTTATATTATTATGTTTATCAATTAAAATTTTTAAACTAGTAACAATCGAACTTGCAATAATTTTTAAACTACTAGTAATTGATAAATTCTAGAGTTTTCACAAAAAAGAGAGAGATGTGTCACGAATGGGTCGGCTCGACTGGGGAAGGACCACGCTCTCACAGAATACCAGAGTAAAATAGCAGCTTAAGGCTGTTGTGTTCCGTACGGTGAATGTACATAACCGGAGACCCTTTTTTCTGGAAACGAAGTATTCCATCTTAGTCGTCATAGGTGACAACACATCTGCATTTTAATTCGTAATCGAGGATAGATGTAGATGTCTATGGGCCACAGGAACCAATTACCATCAGTTGGACTGTGCGCTCGTTTGTTAACTTTGTGCTATAAAATAATACGTCACGAAAAAGTCATTACTGACAGCATTCAATGGCTGTACAATCTTATTTTCAGATTTTGACGTTTACTTGATGAGAAAATTTGTTGTGATCTCTCGAACGCTGCTAAGCCGAGTTCAATCCGTCGATTGACCTCTCTGTCGAATTTAGACTTAACTAGTCGGACTATTTGTCCTAGGTAAACATACTCGTTGACAATTTCGAATATATTGCTCCTAACAACTACCGGCATAGGTGCGCAATTGACGTTACACGTGACCTTTGGTTTGTCCATGTTCGTCTTAATCCTATCCGTTAGGAGACACTATTGAGGTCATTGATCATTGTACTTAGGTCCTCCAGCGATTCTGTCATAAGGACTGTATCGTCGGGAAATCGAAGGTGGGTAATGTACTTGCCATTGATGTTAATACCGTATCCTTTCCAGTCTAGTAGCTTGAAAATGTCTTCCAATGCAGTGGTGAAGAGTTTCGGGGATATAACGTTACAATGTCTTACACCTCTCTGAAGTTGGATGTTAGATGAGGATGTGGAGGAAATGTATGACAATATCTCTAGAGCCATGCATTCCTCCAAAACTAACTATACGGTGTTAATCGGAGATTTAAATCGGAAAGATCATGTCTAATGAAGTCAACGCTCCGTTTCCTTCGTGCTCATTAGAGATTTGGATTACCAAAGCCCCGAAAACTTTCAGCTTGAATAACAAAACCGTATTCAGTGTCTAGAAAATTGCAATACAGTGGACGATATGAATGACAAGCTCGTGCAAACTGTCCATGTGGTCGAAGCTAAGTTCTGCGAGACCCATCGCAGAAGAACCTAGAAACTTTCCCATTAATCTCTTAATTTCATGGCTGTTAGGACGGGATATGAAACTGCAGTCTTCAGCTGATTTGACAGCATATAGGCAACTGACAGACATATCTCAAATGCATGCGGCGGCGGGACTTATGTATCTTCAATACAATTCGTATTGAATCCCGGACGTCAGTCTGAGTGGGATTAGAATGGCTCTCCAGCACATTAAAAATGGTAAAGCCCCGGGCAAGATGGAATGACAGCAGAGCTTCTGAAAGCAGGTGGAAAACCAGTACTTGAAGTCCTTCAGAAGCTCTTCAATTCCGTTCTCCGTGGTGGCACTATTCCGGAGGCGTGGGTCAGAAGTGCGGTAGTTTTGTTCTTCAAGAAAGGTGGCAGCCCTTTCTTGAAGAACTACAGACCGATTTCCCTTCTAAGCCGCGTCTACGTGCTGTTTTCGTGAGAGTGGCGATGTCTAAAAGTAGGTAATTAACAGCTCCTGTTATGTTATGTAATATTGACGCAGTTTATCGCGAAATAGAGTACAATTTGGAGTTATTGGAAATCATTATAATCACCATTTCTACTAAAGTTATGTTTTTAATAAACCATAAGTTATAGGCCAAAATGTTCGCATAGAGATGGGTGTTATGTCGGCATTAACAAAAATACAAATATTTAATTTATCGCTATATTATCTTTCATCAAATCTTGTAGATCTACTGTTTGATTGCTGTTTACATTTAATGGCGCTTAGTGATTATTGTTAAAAAATGATAAAAGATAGAGGGTAAATGATTTTCTATGTAAGATACTTAGGATTAAATAGTTGATTAAATTTATTATATCTATATCTGTCGCTGTCTATTGTCATATAGTAAAGAGAGATAGAATCTAAGCATTTCCTTAATAGACGCAGTTGTTTTTTTAGTTACTTGCCGCTTTTCGACCGCTAATCGTTTGTGTTGCCGTTTATCTAGCTGCTCTTGAGCCGGATGCAAAAATTCTTATCCAAATAATGTGTTCTTACAAAGTACACATAGTTTATAGTTGAGAATTAATGTATTGAACATTCAACGCGTTTGGTCTAGTGGTTGTAAACTGGGTTGCTGATCATGAGGTCGCGGGTTCGAATCCCGGGTGAGGCTAAAATCAGTAATTGGGTTACATAATGATTTCTTATATTTACGCGAACAGTACACATTGATTAAAACTACTTATATGTTATTTATATGTTCTTTAAAGAACATATAGCTGACGTGAAGCATCAACGTTCCGGGAAGTCTGCAGTTTGTGTGCATATCCTAGGCGGCCCCAACCTCCTTTTTCTTTTTGATTCCTACCAAGGATGATACCTGAGGCTATTGAAATTAAAAAACACCCTAATTTCAATAGAGAAGGAGGCTGGGTACTACCACCTGCATGGGACCCTGTAATTAATAAAATTAAAACTAAACCCAAGCATCCCACTTCAAGACTTCAAGACCGAGTAAGTTCATTCTTCATAGATCAGACCATAAACTCATTAAAAAGCTGAAGGTACTTCGGATTAACATTGACATCGGGACGTCAGTCACCTCAGTCCCCC